AATCTATGTTTGTACATTTACAACGACGTGGTATTCCTGTGAGTTTCTATGTTTCATTAAAATCTATTACGAAATTTCTTTTCACTTCTAGGTCTACGTTTGGATATTAAACAATGAACAAGAATTCGAATATGCTATACAACATATGTGTGTTACTGGTATAATGACTGATTATCCAAGTCGACTTCGAAATTATTTAACGTCTAAGGAACATGAATTTATTTTAAATTGAGTTATAAATAAATGCTTATTTTTTATCCTTTTTTTTATAAAATATCGTCCTAATTTAAAATAAAAAAATATTTTTTTCTTAAATAATTTATTTTTTTTAACAGATAATGAATAATAAAATGCACTTACGTTAGTTTCTATCGAAACCTTTCATCTTTGGTTTTAGTAAAACGTTTTTCATATGATTTACGTCATCTCGCAGATAAATAGAGAAGATAAAAGGGTGATAAAATAGTTTTACCGAAACCTTCGTGTCGAACTTTATACTCGCGTAGATAAAAGTATCACCTGTTCTGAGTTCGTGTGAGCCTATATAAACTGCAAACTACCGCCACATTCGTTACATAATCATCAATATCATACATACCTTGATATTTAGCATAGGATTCATTCAGAAATGTCATTGTTAGTCTTTGTTGACCATTCTAAATTCTTAATTGTAATTCTCTAGTCCTTATCAATTATCTTAGTAATATTTTGGAGACTTTCTTTTTAAGGGAACAGTCAGACGAAAAGTTTTCCTCTAAAGTTAAATATTTCATATATGAATGGACGATTGGTTCATATTTTGTTAGTGTGGTTCCTCTCTGAATGGAAATTTAAGGCAACATAAATATACAAAGTTCGTGTGTTCATGATGCAAGATAACATGGGTTATAATGTGTTAAAGCGGATGTGGTAAGGCTGCAGAAGGTGGTCATAAGTGATACTTCAAGCTTATAGAAAGAAGAAATTGAGACGAGAGTACAAATAATTTTGGTAGTCATACAATTCCATAGTTTCGCATAACAATCCTATAGTAGACTTCAGTTTCTTGGCTAGGTTGGCATGATCGATGGGTTCAAATTTCTTGTTTTACACTTTAACGGTATTTAGAAATTGGATGTCCCCCAAAAACACTGAGTCTTGACTGAATTTTCATTAGAAAAAAAAAATTTTATTCATCAAATTAAAAAACAAACTCGAAGGCAGAATGCACTGTATTTCGTGAATCCGACAAAGACTCAAAGCTCGATTCGTTTCAAATTGTTCTAGATTACAGTTCCATATACAGTTTATTATTAGTGTTAGCACACATATTATAATTGAAATCTATGTCAAGTTTGAAGCTCATTTAGAGTTTTTGAAATACAATCGACTATAACAGATTAGTACGATGTCTCTCTATTTTGAGTCCTGTAATTTTCGTACAATTCTAAACAAGTATGTGCAAGATCTTTGATCTTTCTTGTGGGACCTTCTTTTATTATTTAGAAACAAATGGCTGGTAATAAAATAGATACTTTAGTCGCTACCTGGAATACCGCAGCAAAATTGTCTTTAACAGGAGAGCAAGAAGAAAAAGTAAGTTAGTCTTCATGGAAAAAAATATTTTGTTCAGAAAAGTTTTTTTTTTTATTTTAGCTCAAAGCATTATTTAATGATGCTGCTGAAAGAGTTCGTGCTCGTCGTGCAGCTGGAAAAAAATTAGTTGAAGATGTAAACAAAGCTGTTGAAGCTAATGATAATGCAACAACAGAACAATTATTAGTAAAATTACGTGAAGGTCTTCGTCAAGCTGGAGAAAGTCGTGAACGATTTCTTGATGAATTCGATAAGGTTCTTCGAGCTGAACAACGTGGTCGTTTTCTTCTTTATGTTGTTCAACGGGCTAAAGAATCAGGCAAACCAGTAGAACAATTAATCGATAGTCTTCTTGCACAAGATGGTGATAATTAGAAATATACATCGTAGAGTTGATAGTATAATAATGAATATCTTGATTTTCATACAATAAAAGAAAATAAAATTAAACTTGAATAAAAAACAACTCTTGTTTTAATATGCACTGCCTGATCGCAAACTAAATAGAGCTCATTTTAGCTGTGTGAGACTATCCTTTGATTATTTCTGAATGAAAACAATTTAGATACAAAGGTTGATATAGTTATCTTTTCATATATGTGAAGAAAGAAGACGAGTTAAGGTTAAATTTTATTTCATTAATTCCCATTTCACGTACATTATGAAATGCTATAATCAATATTTGCTTTTTATCACAAAATACGGTGTCTGTACACGAATGAATTTGTCGGATTTCTACCAACTTTTTGGAATCTTTCTTCAATTTTAATACTATAGTTACACTCCTCATCGTCGAAAACGATCTGAAATGACAATTTGAATCTTTTTGGACCTAAAAATATCAAAACTCAAATCATTTCTAAGAAGAGTCTAACACTTGTATACACATAAGAAATAATTTTCATACATACTTTATGCAGCGATCAAAAAAGCAAGCGTTTATTTCAACGATTTTTGAATAGTCATAAGGCATTCAGTGTCTGTTCTAGAAGAACATTGCATTAAAAATGAAAAAAAAGATGATAGTAACTGATAAAATTTGCATAGTAAAACTTAGTTTGTTTTTATTGCGAGAACTTTTTTTTCACAAAACTAATCTTCAACAATTAGAAAATTAGATTCATATAAATTCTATGTCCTGTAGAGCAGCTGAGGAAGTCCCAAATCCATATTCGAAATCAAATTTCATTGATGAATGTAAGATTATTATCTCATTTGCTTACGTAAATTTATTTCGATATTTCATAACATTAATTTTACTTTTTCGACTCGGCGATGGCTTCTTCTTTAAATTTGAGGTAACGCTGGAAAACTATTAAAAGCAAAATTACGTCAATATCTGATATCTACACACAGGTTTCTATTATGTAGCAATAGATTCACGTCGGATCTCTTTTTGTCTTTGCAATTCTATGCACCATTGTTTCTGTTTTAAACAAATGAATATTAGTTCGTTGATTGTGCTCGAAATATCATAGTGTGGTAACACAGTTGGTGAAGAAACAATATAAAATAGTTAACAGGGATTATATAAATCTTAGTAGCGCCGAATCAAGTAGAAATAGAAAGATGAATAATGAAGTGGTAGATGATATTCTTTTTGAAATAACTTATCACGAAGAACAAACTATAGAGCAGTCATCTGCTCTTTTTAAATTCGTAAAAGATGGATCTAATTCATGATAAGTAACTTTCAAGGATTGTTTAATCGAGAAACCGAAAAAATGGTCGATACGAAAATTAGTCGCTATCAGGGTTGCAGATCAAAAACTTAGAAATCAGAAAGGACAATTTTTGAAAACGAACAGCTGGTATGTTGACATACTGGTACAAAACCCACATATAGCCTAGTTAATACAAAGAAGACTAATAAAAGACATCTAGAGCTGGATAAAGCTGTTGACAAGAATAATTAGCATACATTCTTATGTTAATTTCAACAATGCCGAAATTTATCAGTGCGCTTCATTGTTCGTCAGTAGTTATAGAACTTAGAAACGACCAATGATTAACAAAGAATAAATACGACACGATATTAATCTATTATAGTAATGAGTTATAAACGTAATCAATTTTATTGATAAACTCACAATTTAAAAAAAGTTCACATTTCTGAAAAAATCAGAATCAATGATCAAAATCAGAGATATGTTTTAATTTCAACAGCTTTCTTCGCTTTTCGAAAGATCTTGCAAGCTTAGTCTGGTGCAAACTTAATTTATTGTATTGATCAATAATTAACCAAGCCCAGAACATATAAATTTATCAGGTAAAAAGAAGGAAAATCTATAAGTGTATGAGTAGAATTAATTTTAGTTTTGTATTATCTCAAGGTAATATTTGTTCTTGAATAGTTCGCTGTTCGTCAAGAAGTTGAGAAACAAGTCATTAGTTAATGACAGATAGCTGTTGAAAGTAATATTAATATTAAATTTGAAGCATTGTGAAATAAAACGAATGGAGATTTTCGTCACATTGTTAGATTGACGTACAGTTGTTTTGATGATTTTGCTCTTATAATGTTGGAAGATTCTCATTATAATAATGCTGATTGGAAACCTATGTAAATGTTTGAATCTTGTAAGCAGTAATAGAAGGCTCGTATTCAATCTGAAATAAAAAGACTCAACTCCAGACTATTGAAGCTGATCATATATTATTGACTTGAAGCTGAGGAGAAAAAGAAAGAAAAAATATCTGTGCCTTTCGGCTACTCTGGACTATGGGGTACACCTAGTAGGAGAATCAGTAGTCCGACCTTTTCCCACAACTATGATTAGTTGTAGCTCTAAACAAAAGGCCGGCTTGATATAGATTTCTTGGTTTCTATTGCTTGAACATCCGTACACACTAATTAATCACATACTAGCCACAACGTAGTTAGCATGCTATCGGACGAATAGTTCGAGACAAACAACAGTTAGTAACTTGTCCAGAGTCATTTCATATCTCTTGATACCGAAGTTTGAGTACAATAGCTTGTAGATATCTGCCGAAAAACACAGCCACTCAACCCTGAAAGCTCATGGCTTTATATGAACTGAATTTCTGTGCATTTCACGTCAAAGACAAGAACAACGATTTCATTGTTTTATATCCCAGAATGGAAACTTTCTTATGTCAGACACTCTTGAATAGTCTTCTCATGATCAAAAATATTTCTCCATTACGTATTGCCGTCGATAAATACTATCAAAATACTTCTATGACTATGATTATAACTCATGTATTCAATCTTTATTTTTATTGGTTAATTTTTCTATCGAAGGTAAATTACAGACAAGATAAGATCCTCGACGACTTGTTTAGGTTAAATTAATTTTTGAATTGATAATTTCAATCATTGTAATATATCTAAAAATAATCAATTGTTTTTTTTCTAACAGATTTACGGTTTAGACATAAAAATCATTAGTTTATTAACGATGGGTAAGTTATTGATTATATTCTTCGGTTTTTCTCGTATATTAAAATTATTTAGCTGATTTACAACAATTAAAAAATTTAAAACTTGATTATGAAGATACTATTGCTATTGTTCAATTCAATCAAGAAAATTCGAAAGTAAAATTTCATTTAAAAGAAAACTTAATAATTTTAATAATTAATTAAGGTTAATACATTATCACGAGAAATGACGAATGAATTTGTTCCAGTATTTAATCATTTAAAAAATGATGATAATATTAAAGGAATTATTGTTATATCAGCTAAACCTGGTTCATTTATTGCTGGAGCTGACATTAAGTTAGAAAAAAAAAATTTTTTGCATTTCGATTTCAATATTCATTTATTTATTCAGTATGATTGAATCCGTTAAATCTCGTGACGAACTTTATCAAATGTCCCGCAATGGTCAAGAAATTATGAATCAAATTGAACAATCATCAAAACCAATTGTTGCAGCTATTGCTGGATCATGTCTTGGTGGTGGATTTGAAGTAAGATTTTTGTTCGTCCTTTCGACGTTAGTTTTATCAGTCTTTTCTCATTAGGTTGCTTTAGCATGTCATTATCGAATTGCGATGAATGATAAACGAACCGGATTTGGTGTACCAGAAGTTAAATTAGGATTATTACCAGGTGCTGGTGGTACACAAAGACTTTTAAAAAATCTTTCATTATCAGATGCATTAGATCTTATATTAACGGGTAAAGAAATTAAAGCAAAAAAAGCCAAAGAAATGGGTTTAGTTGATATTGTTATTGAACCTATTCAATCGGATGTTCAAAATATTGAAGAACAAAATATTGAATATTTACGTTCGATTGCTATACAAAAAGTCAAGTAGGTGTTCAATGGTTAAAAACAAAGATTTAATAAAACAAAAATTCTACATGAGTATGATATAAAAATCAATATCTTAGTTTGTATGATTCTACTGCAGATATTAGTATTCAATATAAGTCAATTTTTCGAGATTCAATGAGATTTCTGTCGTTAAATTCATTTTGTTTATACTTCTGACTTTTTAAGAGAACTTGTTGTACAAAAACTTTCAAAGCGAAAACCTGGACTAATGGAAAGTAGGATACCTCATTTCTCTTAGTATTATTTATTAACTATTCATGATAGATATAAAATCAACAATAATGTTAAATTCTTATGTACGAAATTATATTTTGTCTCAAGCTCAAGCAAAAGTTATGTCACAAACACAAGGTCTTTATCCAGCACCGTTGAAAATTTTAGATGTTTGTATTGAATTTATTCATTAAGCAGAAAAGAACACACGTACAAAAAGCTTTTTATTATTAGGTTATTCGACAAACTTTAGAAAATGGTTCAAAAGTTGGATTTAATGCTGAAGCAGAAGTAAAATTTGAAATTTCTTTTTAAACGAAAAAATAAATGAATTTATAAACTTTAGGCTTTTGCAGATCTCTGTATAACCAATGAATCAAAAGCATTAATTAGTCTATTTCATGGACGTACTGAATGTAAAAAAAATAAATATGGAAAATCCGAAAAAGAAGTCAAGTAAGTTTACATTAGAGATATGCAAGGTAAGTTTTTTCGTACCTGGTAATCTGACTTAGGAAAATGTTCTAATCCTTACTCTGCACATTTCTCATTTACATGAGTATTAACGTTTACAATTATCAGGATAAGATATTAATCTGAGATTAATATATCATTCTATTAAACACAGTAAATATCAAGATTTCTATACCCATTTTATGCAATTATCTAAGAGTTCTACTTGTCATGTTATTGAAGAAATTCGAACTATATTGTTCTAATTAATTTGAGTGGTACTATATTTTCTTATAACAGAATGATTGCCGTTATGGGTGCTGGTATCATCGGTGCAGGTATTGCACATGTATCTATAGATAAAGATTTTCAAGTTATACTTTATGATACAACATCAACTGCACTTCATCTTGGCCAATCACAAATAATTAAGAGTTATCAACATTATATTAAACGGAATCGAATAACAAAGTAAAAAAGAAATGAAACATTATAATTCTCATTTGATTATAATATAACATTATTCTAATTTAGTACTGAATATAATCGAATATTAACGAATTTAAATTGTCAAACAACATTTGATAATCTTGATAAATGTGATATTATAATAGAAACTGTACTTGAAGATCTTAAATTAAAACAAAATATTCTTAATGAACTTGAACAATACATTCCAGAACATTGTATATTTGCATCTAATACATATATACTATCTATTCATCAAATAGCTGCACATAGTCGACGTCCACATCAAGTAAAATCATTAAAATAAAATACGAAAAAAAAAGATTATTTTTTTTTTTGTTATAAATAATAGGTTATTGGTATGCATTATTTTTCTCCAGTTGATAAAATTGAATTATTAGAAATAATTCGAGCTAAACAAACATCTGATAATACAGTTTGTACAGCAGTTAATATTGGACTTAAACAAGGAAAAATTATTATTGTAGTTAATGATAGTCCAGGATTTTATACAACACGTTTATTAATATTTTCTTTTATTGAAATATTTTATCTATTACAAGAAGGTTTATCACCGAATGATATTGATAAAGCAACAAAAAAATTTGGTTTTCATATTGGTTTAGTCATATTATTAGATGAATTTGGTATTGATATAATTACACATGTAGTATATCATCTGAAGAACATATTTGGTGAACGTCTTGCAAATTCGTCTGTAATAGAATTACTTCAAATATTTGTTAGAAATAATTTACTTGGAAAAAAATCTGGACAAGGTTTATATATTTATTCTAATGATGGTAAGAAGAAGATTAATCCGAAATGTAAAGAATTACTTAAACATCCTTTGACACAAACTCATGACATGTAAATATAGAGTATTTGATATATTTTCTTTTGATCTATTTAAATATTTAGACCAAGAATAGAAACTATTCAATGGCGTATAAGTCTTCGAATTTTAAATGAAGCTGCAAGATGTCTTGAAGAAAATGTTATTAATTCTCCAGTATGTATTGAAAATATGTTGCAATGAATTGTTTTATAGATAATTTATTCGTTTTTGTATTGTGAACATAGGATAGCTGAAGATCTGGATGATTGCATTGATAGTTTTGGTTTTTTTTCGAACGAAAGCGAGGCCTCTTTGTGGACAAAACTTTAGCTTAAAATTCAATCGTCTAGCTTCTCAGCTATTCTATAATCATAGAATAAAACTCGAATAAAATGGTCATAAATTCGCCAAATGAAAACTAAAAAACTGAACAAAAAGAAACAAGACTTTTTTTTGTTTACTATTCATCATGACCGATCGAATGATAATATTCTTAAGCGAAACGTGATTGTACACTTGGCAATGTTATCTGATTAGCTGCAAACATATGTATTATTACTAATCTTTTTAAATATCAGGTGTAGATTTTCAAATATCAAAGATTTTGATCCGCAGAAGATCCTTTAAATTATATAAGAACCGAAGGAGAATTAGTAATAGCAAAATTCTGTTTTATGAAAGATTTTATTTTATTCATTTAGTTGAATTATTACAACATTGATTGATCCTTAACTGGATTAGTACGATCTCTTTCGAGTAATTGAATGTCATGCTAATTCATGATGGCATTGTAATATCATTAATACAATATAGCAATAGTAAGATTCGGGATTTCAAAATTTCAGTATTTCCCTCTGACGCATATATCACATAAACCACTTCACTATAAACTTCTTTAAATTTGTCTTTTAATGCAAAGAGATAACATGATTCTTATGTCTACTTGATAATAATAAATCAAAAAGTTTATTAAGGGAAAGCAGTTACGTTAAAACCTTCCGCGTATCCTGTTTTGAGTGTATTCGGATGGCTACTAAAAATTTAGTAGATAACTAATGTGATGACGAATAGCAGTATGAGTTAAAAAGCTAAATTTTCTTTTTGGTTTTATACTTTCTCTCAATGTGCAGCTGTTTAATTGTCAAATATTCGTTGTATAACTTTTGAAACAAGTCTCATTTACATTTTTAGACAGATGGTGATATAGGTGCTGTGTTCGGTCTTGGCTTTCCTCCAATGAAAGGAGGTAACTAATTATGATGTTTTTTCCTGTTTTTACATTTTACCATTGTAGGTCCATTTCGTTTTATGGATACTTATGGCATTTCTAACATAGTTGATTTAATGTATAATTATCAATTAGACTATGGTGATCGTTTTGCTCCAACACAATTATTAATAGATATGGTCAAAGATAATAAAAATTTTTATTCATAACTATTTTCTCTAAATAGAATGCAAAAAAGAAAAACTTAAAAGTTTCTTTTTTAATTTTTTTAATCGATTGCTCTATTATCTATGTTACGTTCTTACATAAAAAGGTTTGTTGTGTTATAATATAAATAGCATTAAAAAAAATTCACTATTTACATATCTGATTGCGAATAATATAATTTTTTATCCAGCTTTTTAAAATTATTTTTAAACCACGCAAAAACTAATGTTATAAATACAACTGATTCCACTAAATATATATTAAGATATAATACTGATAAATGTGCATCAATTAATTACATAGCATGTATAGACAAAACCTAATGCTAAAACGAAAGGAGAGGGTCATTAAGAAGCCAAATCGGTTCTTGACCGGAATTCGACTTTGTCTTTCTCATTTTGTCCACTTGCCTGTCACATGTCTGTTTCTATCGAAATTAGGCGATTTCATGCAGTCCACATTGTGCGCGTCTTGATTTATTCCTCTGTTCTCAATATTTTTATGTAGTGGTCTAATCACGAGAGGACTACGATGAGCTGAGACTTCCTCCCAGAAAATTTTTTGGTTCTCATGAAAAACAGAATGGCTTCTCGTTTTCGAAGCTATTCTGAGCAGAGTGAGCCGTATGCGTCAGTGCATCCTATTCGATATTCGATATTTTTCTTCAATCAATAGCGAAAACCAGATTAATTTTTCAAACCAACGGAGGAATTGATAAACTTTTCTGACTGTGGAAAGCTTTAGATCTGGTCATACAAGTCTTAATACACTTTCATCAGAAAGATTTGGAAACTCTTATGTTAGATTCAAATTATCAATCTTATCAAGAACGAATATGTGTTCAGTAAATGCTATTTAGAATTTCTCGATGCGGATTTTAGGGACGGACTGAATCATGGTTGTCCACGTCACTATTGCATGCTGGACGATATTGAACTGGCGATAGTTTTTTAGTAATTTTTTCCTCCAAAAGGTTCTTGTAAATTACCTCACACAGACTCCTAAAAATTTTTGCTCCATTATTAAGGGTATCGTACTGAAAAAAACAATGTCGAGTTTTCCTTCGAAAAAGTTAATTCCAAAGAAATATAAGGCGCACAGAACTGATTTTTAATGCGATTGTACTTACCGAAAAGAATTGTAACATTAAAAGTAGAGACTTTTCCTTTAAACCAATTTATGACAGCAAAAATCAAGATTTTGTTGCAGCGAAGTTTTACGGTCATTCTCGTTGGCTTTCTATGTTTTCGTTTTTATCTGAGCTATAGGCGGTTGCGAAACGAATCACTAATCTGATCATGTCACTTAAAATTGGTTTCATATCAATAAAGTCAAACAAAGCTATTCCGAAAATTTTTCTCTTGAAAGCATTATTTTTCGCATTTCATAGAAGATTTTATTTCGTTGTTTCAATACATCCATTGAGTTCAAGTTAGTCACTAAATTATCTTGAAAACTTTATATCGTCTACTTCATCGAAGAGAATGAGTTATCAAGAACGATAGAGTAGAATAAACATTGAACACAATCGTATTAGAGACCAAAATGAATGAGAAAACCGCTAGGCGAATGCAATTCAACTCAGCTTGTTACAGAAGAAAAAAAAACGTAGTAGTATTTTCGCACATATAAAATATTACTTATAGTGTTTAGAGAGATCATAGAATCACCTGCCAACTTTGACTTCTCTCGAAATTTTTTCTTGGCTAATGTCATTTTTTGTGTCACACTCATTACCCATACATAGATTCATTGTTACATTTGCAGTATTTGTTGCAATAAACACCTGAAGAGTACATATGAATCTTTAGGTTGGTAGTGAATTTTACACAAAAAAATTGTATTAGCCAGCAAGAAAATTTGACAGAAGACAAAGCCAAAAGGTGATTCTGTAATTTTTCACAACGCTGTATGTTTAAATATTCTTCTCTTTGAAAGCTACTGATTTCTCTCTTGTCCCATTCTAACACATTTTCTATATTTCATTACTTCATGCATATTGAAAAAAAGGACCCATCAATGTTCTATATTGATAGATCCAACAACACAGATTTTATTAGTATTTGAAACATCAGAATTTTTGCCAATACAGTACATCTATTTAAATTAGACAAGCGAAAACTGATCGCTACAAAAATTAGCTGAAACACCGTATCATGAAATTATAACAGTTTCTTTCAGTTACAGAAAAAAATTATTTCGAAAACTCAAGATTACTGACAGTATGTGATGTTTCTCTTATATGATTAAAGCGTTATAAATTAGAATCTTATTGTCTACTATCCAAATTCATCGTACCAAAATATTGTCGTGAGACTACAAATAAACAGCTTTGGAATGTTTTCAAAGTATTAAAGCATATTTAAAAAGTTTTAAGGCATCTAAACAATCACTAAACAAACAAAAACTTGAATATCTTTGCTATATTCTGGACAAATGTAGTGATCACTGATAATGGAACGTTCATAGCTCATATGGATAAGAGAAACAATGAGGAAAATTGTTTTTCGAATATCACAACTGACTTCGTCGAAGAACTGTAATTTTTCACGGATTATCAATGATCCCTATTGCAGTTTTCTCTACAAATTCTTACTACTTATGGCTGAAACTTTCAAGATACATTGAGTAACAAGACATATATCTGTGGTGTAAAGATGAGAATAAAAAGACCTTAGTGCAAAGAATAAAGAGAAAGTAGATATATAGTTTACTCTTCTCAAAACATAAATATTTTGTTTTTCTCAAAACTCGTCAAGATTACAAGTATTTCATGAAGTTAGCTACAATACTCGAAAACAATATTCCTCAACGTTTCTCCTATCGATATGAACATTCAACAGTCCTTTATTAATGGTGAAAATATCATCTTCTTTGGTAAAAGTATAGTAGAAATATTCAATTTTTTGTTTGTTTAGTGATTTTGTGAAGATCCTAAAATTTGTTTGCTTGTCGAATCGCCAATACTTTTGCTCTGTTCTCAATATCTTGGTGACAGCCCAACAATGATGAAGTATTCTAGAACTGAAGAGTGTCATTTGGATAATCAGTACGCAGAGAGAGAAAATTTATTCGAGCTTTCTATGAGAGATTACAGGATTACCGTCACTACTTTTGGTGTCCTAAGTATAATCCAACAGAAACAGAAAAAAAACCATTCATACTCTGAATCTCAGTAGGAAATACCGCGGAAACTCTCATTCTCTATTTATCTCTTTCATATATCTATCTGAACTTTTTCACACGGACGCTCTTCACACTAATTCTCCGAAACAATGATATCGGAGCTCACGGAGCACAATGTATAGCTGACGCATTACGAAACGACACGATGACCCTCATTCTTTCTTCATTTCTTAAGTATATATCTGCACTTTATATCACAGACAGTCACCACACTACATCTCTCCTAGAATGAAATCGGAAACATCGGAACACAAAATGCAGTTGATGCTCTACGAAATAACAGTGACTCTCATTCTCTCGTCGTCTCTCTCATCTATGCATTTCTACTTCTTATCACATACACTCACTACCCTGGATCTCTCCCAGAATCAAATTGGAGATATAGGAGCATAACACATGGCTGATGCTTTACAAAATAACACAATGACTTTCATTCTCTTCAGTTCTCTCAGTTGCTCTTCAGCACTTTTATTACAGACACTGACCACCCAGTGAAAAATTTTCGCGATTTTCAACCGGATTTTTCTGCAACAAAATCAAAATTATAATCGATTGATAATTTTGATTATTTTTGATCACGACTGATCCATTATTTGACATTGTTGCTTATTTAGTGCGAAATTTTCTAATTGAAATCGGATTACTTTGCAGTATAATCGAAATTATTAATCGATTGGTAATCCTAGATTTGCTACAGAACTATCCGATTTTAATCAGATAATTCCACACTGAATAAGTAACAATATCAAGTAATAGTTAAGTCGTGATCAACAATAATCAAAATTATCAATCGATTATAATTTTGATTTTGTTGCAGAAAAATCCGATTGAAAATCGCGAAAATTTTTCACTGGGCAGACTAGTTGTCTTGAGGAATGCAATTGAATACAATCTTCGAACCTATTTGGAAGAATTGATTAAACAGAATGCACAACAAACAAAATTGTCAACATTGATTTGGAAGATTTTTTAATTTAAAATGAAAGTTTCTATTGGTGTGGAAGATTTGTTTTTTTTTGTTGGTGTGTTTTTTTTGGGCAACAACAATAAACGCATTTGATCTTCAATCTGAGTTGCTTTAGTTTGAAGACATCACACTAATTGTCTTTTAGTGGATGCCTAACGGTATAGGAATACCTTTATTTTCTTGTTTGACTACTAGAGTGGCTTTAATGAAAATAGCTAGTCGACGTCCTTATTGCTGCTTTTTCTTCATGTCGGTGAATATTGCTTGAGAGTGTTTTAAGCAACGCAGGAGGTAATGCTCTTTGTTTTCAAGATACTTTCGTTAGTGTTCGACAATGTGGTTGATCATTTGTTTGTATGACTCAGAAAATGAATAATGTATATATGAAGTTTACTGTGGTAGAATTAATGAGTCGCAAATTTCTATCTTATAAGGAGTCTGATATTTCGAGGACTCTCAACTCTATCAATACGCTGAAGATTTTCATGGGAAAGATGACCTATGGAATTATTGAGATCACACAGATGCCGCACTGTGTTGTTTGACTGACACGCTTACTGTTGGACTGATCCATGAAAATGAATAGTGTTGTTGTGAGAAAGTGCTTTAATAAAGTTCGTTTAACCATGAAGAGAGTATATTGTTTGGTGATCGAATTGATTGTTTAATATTGTGAATTGATTATATGATTACATTCATTTTACTCAATTTTCGTATATATAAATTGAGCAATTACTGTCCATGAAAGAGTGGGTGGGTGTGAGTTTCGACCTTTCGGAAAAGACAATTCCAGAAACTCCAACTAAAATTTTGATACCCATCGAAAATTTGAATCGATACATCGAAATACCCATCCAATAGTTAGTTGCGAATAAAGATTATTACTATGGTAGCTCTGATACTTGGACATATTTTTTCGATGTTTCTTATACTTATAAAGTTTTCAATACGTTTTTTCTGGTTAACTGCTTATAGAAGTACTTGATAAGAAAACCAACATCTGCATTAAACTAGGTAGCGTTAAGTTTTGAATGTGTCAATAATTTGGTAATTTGTGAGAAAAAAAAACTTGTACCTTTCATTTATGATTGGAAGATGAATTTGCTTATTTCGTCAAAGCATAGTAGAAGTATTTCATTAGTGTTTTTACAGTCTATTTCGAGGACACTCAGTGTATCACTATATACGAAGTCTCACAGAGCGATTATGTTTTGACAGATTTGAACTAACGCAAATTTTATTTTTTCATTGAGAACAACTCAACATAAAAGAGTAGTGACAAAAAAAACAAAAAGAAACATGTATAATGGACAAATTTACTTATGACTAACAAAAAAACTTTGATTGAGAAACTAAATTTCAGCTGTTGCTATTATTCTGAATCAGAGATGCCATTGAATTTCGCTCAGAAGTCTTCTAAAAAATGATATAGTATACAATAACTTCAAGAAGCTTTTTTCTTCTCAATCAGTGCATGAGCCGCTTCATTTTACTGTTTAAATCGAAAAATAAATATTTTTCTTCTTATGTCTAACATTTTTCATCGTTGAGTAAATTGAAAATAAACAAAACTTTTGATGAATAAAAAATAGCTATTAAAACGTTTTTTAGTGTAAATCACAAGTGTTGACACTCAGAAATGGAGGGGAAAGAAATGAGACAAATGCAAGATTATTTTTCTGAGAGTTAGAAAAGGTGCGTAAACAACTTTTTAGAAGTGGCCGAATGAAAAATGAATTTCTCATCCAGCTATCTTTTTTTCAATCACAAACATAAATTTCACTGAAAAGAAAGTATCAAACAGGGAAGGCCACTGTGGACGTCACTACCTACGACGACAGCCTAAAGGCATTGAGATTCCTAGACAACAAATTCTCAAACAAACGATTGTTGTGTGTTTTTGCTTCACTTCATCAATTCAAAGCATTAGCATACAAAGCTTGCATAAAAGTAATCATTACTTTTGCTAAAAGTAACAACAATCTTTCGATCATCTGTCAAATGATGGTTCACCAATTTCATATTATTCTCATATTAGTTCTTATTCCATTTGTTGAAAACACTCATTTTCGTGGTGGTACTATCACTTGGTCAGTTTCAATAATTCCTCTTCTCTAATTCTATGATAAATGCATGTTTTTTAGGCGTCCCCTTAATACTACTCCTTCAGGAGCTACAGTTCAAATGCAAATTCGTCAAAGATACTCATGGAATCGGGCTTCTGTTTTTTGCAATGATACATACATTGCTTCACTCACTCAAATCGGTGATAATACTTCTGTCAGTTGCGTCTCTGGAACTTGTTCTACTTGGAACTCAAATTTGATCTATACAAAAACCTATTGTACTGATTATAGTATTAATGGCAGTGTTAGCTCTGGTGAAATATATTATATACGTACAGTATCATTGAATATTGCTTTTAGTATAGCTTTTGCCTCAGGTAATTGGTTCGCAAGTCTTGTTGTTGGTGCTAATGGTCTTTGGAGTGTTATTAATCGAATCAATACTATTGTTCGTCCAGATGGTTATTTAAATAATAGTCCAGTCGCCACTACACTTCCTGTAATTTATAAGGCTATCAATACCCAACATGTGCATGTTGTTCAGATATGGGCGTGGCCGCGCGTTACGGAATTTCATTTTTTCATATTGTGACACCTGTAGCTTCTCAAAAATCAAGGCAAACTTGCTAAAATTTTTATCATAGATAGAGATGGCTGAGATCTATTATCAGTAAAAATTTTATCTATTTCTGTCTAATCATAGTTGAGTTATTCAACAAATACTGACCGTTACGGAATTTCATAAAATGGAAATTTTTTTTAGGGTGATGCAGAAGTTAAGCATTTTACCACATCACGAAACGACATACAAAGAAATGCTCTATATAAAAGTTATTCAGTTTTCCATGAGCTTTCAAAATATCAATTCATTTCCGAGAAAGCATAACTGTACCAAATCAAATAACTGTAAATACTATCCGTTACGGAATTTCACTTCGTTACGGAATTTCATTATTTTTTGACTTTCTAATGGGGATGGTTAGGAACCTTACAGCTTTTAATTATCATGATGAAAACCCATCATTTCTCGTATCCGCGAATAGTACACAGATAGTTCTATCGCGCGAGAATATCAGCTTCACGTTCAAAGCAGAATGACATTAAAATTCTGCCTGTTTTTTGGACAAAAAATGAAATATAATGGGACTCAGAACGGATAGTTTTTTGGTGAAATTCGTCAAAAAATCCGTTTTCAGACACTTATTGGAGGAAAAATACGGTTTATATAACCAATCAACAACGTATCTCAGAAGTTGCAACGTGTTTCATAATCTGTTAGTAGCGAAATTTTGGATTTCGAGAGAGTTTTCTTTATTTTTAGTGCGTATAAACCTTCCTCAGGGTAGGGTGACCGATGCGCGGCCATGCCGATATCGGATTTAGATTCGACAGATACATTAAGATGTCGTTGGTCTATTGGCTCAACGACCAATACTAATACACACGATGAATGTGCAGATGTATGTAACGGTGTACCTGGCGCTGTATTATATAATGATAACTGTACACTTGTATTCACACTCACTCAATCTGCTAAATATGTTGCAGTAGCCCTACAGATTGAAGATTATTACACATCAACATCATCATCTCCAATGAGCTCTGTACCTCTTCAATTTCTTTTCTATGGTTATCTAGCACCTTCTGGTTGCAGTACACCACCAGCTATTATTGGTAATCGACCCAATCGAGGTAAGAAAAAGTTTAAAAAGAGAAATTCTTCTTGGTATAAGAAAAATCATTATTAATCTGATGAAATCTGTCATATGAAAACAACTGATAATATCTAATTTCAGCTTGTATTGGAACACCGATTGGTTCAAATGTCACTGAATATGTGATAGCACAAGTTTATTGTCCTGGAAAAACTATTACTGATTTCGTTACAAGTTCTCCTGTTGGATTAAGAAAAAGTATAATTCAGAATCCTAGTTCAGGCATGTCGTTTTCAGTATCTCAGTTTTATATTATTTCAGTTTTGTAATTTAAGGTATCTACCGAATTATTCTTAGCTGGATTCCCACAGCTACTCAATTTGGTCCACAAGGTTTTTGTGCTGGTGCTGTCGATAATACAAATGTTCAATCAAATCAATGGTGTATTACATTCTTAGTTGGTTATGATTCTCCTAATTTGATTCAAGCTTCTTCTGTTCAAGGAACAGTTTCACCAATTGGTACTATATTTGCTAATCATACTATCTTTTCTATTCAAGGTATCTTTGATTAAAAAGTTACTATTTGGAGTAAACTTATTGTTTTTATGTTCATAGCAACTCGTCAAGTAAATCGTCCATCTCGAAATTATACATATGTGTATTTTAATGATGTTGCAACTGGTACAAGTGTTTATACAGTTGATTGTGGTTGGGATCCTCATGTGATGTACAGTGGAAATACAATTACATTTTATATTCCATCTCCACCTTGGATTCCAGGACATACATATTATGTTACTTTTGATAGTGGTGAGGATGTTTTTTTTTGTATTTTGTTTTCAAGTACAACCTCATATTTGTTGAAATAGGTGTGGCTAGTGGTACTGACTTCTGTAGTAAGTAATTTCATAAAAGGAATTATAAAATAGATGATGAATGAATTGTTAAGAACCTGAGTCATCACCAATCACTGATCCTAACTTTTGGAGATTCGATATTTGGAATCCAGCTGTTTCATCAACTACAACAACAACTACAACTCCACCAACTACTGGTACAGTAACAACAAGACCTATATCAACCACTACTGTTAATACATTGGTAAGTGAAAAAATATTTATGATATTGATATTTACTTTGAATTCATACTTATAAGTTGACAACAACTGGTATTGTGGCGACAAGTACAACAACAGTTATGACAACCACAACTTCTCTCACAACTTCAACAACAAGTAAAGAGTTGCACAGTTTTTGATAATAGAGTTATAGCTGAAAGTACTACAATACGTCTACCCAAAATTACTAACAATAGTACTGAAAATAAAATATTTTAAGAGTTTTGTTTGTAAATATTTTTAGCAACAACAGAAACTACAAGTACAGTCACTATTCTCACAACTTATCCACCAATGGATATCATGAGTCCGAAAGATTTCGTAAGTAAAAACAATTTAAGTTTCAAATATACACCTATTACAATGTAGGAAGAAGCATGTAAATCGCCATTGGCGATTATGACTGCTGCAACGATGTTGGTCATGGCTGCTCTACATGGAATATCTATTTATGTTTCTTTTATTAAATTTTCGACTTCGTTTGATCCGAATATTATTCAAGCCGAACAGAGGCATCAACTACGATCAAAAAACTCTCATTAGATATACAAATAAAAAGTTATTGAATCATCGTTTTCTATCATGTATCAATTAATTTATGAACAGCTTTGTATTTATCCCGATTTTGATATATTGAAAAACTTTTGGTGGTCTTTTATTGTTCCCAACAGCTTTTTCATAGACAAGGCTCTTTTTTATAGAATTTTCTCATTTCATCAAATGGTTTGAAATCTGTCATTGAAGTTTTGAAATAAACCTTTATTTATGAATTCATATAAAAAGGCTTCGACATTATAGATATAATTCTTGAGGAATAATATATGGTAATCATAGACAATATGATCCTTAGAATGTTTTAATATAACCTTTCAGAGTTCCTCTTTTAAATTTCGTTCGATGCGATTCGAGTTGTTCTTCACTTGTTTGTATTCAACAGTTTTCGGCTTCACCTTCTTCATATTGAAAAATAATCACTTTGCACAGACGTGTGTTATTTTTTTTCATTATATGACATTTCAGTGTGTTTATCTTGGTACCACAGAACGAGTTCGGAGCCAATGTGAACCTTTCTCAAAAAACTGCATAGCATTGAACTGTTTATCTTGTACAGTTAACTTTTTCGGATTCGTCAGGAACTCAGTGATATGTCACAATAACGATTAGAAAAGGCCTATTTGCCTATCAAAGGCGGTCATATATTGGTGATATGTTAGCACTAATAACAATTTTCAAAACAAGTTTTTCTTCACCAATAATTAGCACAGGTTGTCGACAAGCTGTTACAGAAAGAGTGTTCAAAGACGAAAATAAAACATTTTTTTTTATCTCGGCATCTTTAGAGGTAGACATAGGGATATGAGAGGTTTTTGTGTTTCTAATAAATATAATATATTCACTTCCATTACGACTGAAGAATATTGTAGACGTCACTCATATAAAGTCTGTATTTCTGTTCTTCTTAATTGAAAATATTTTTATTTGAATTGACGTTTCGATTAATGACATTGATCTACCGCAGAGTATTGAACACTTCGAATTATAGAAACCAGCACAAGGATAATTAATATAACTGTTAAATGTACTATTTCTTTTCTCTTTTTTTTAATTAATAGTGCAAACAGAGAAAACAAGTATTATAGTCTTTATCATCTTTTGTGCGTCTGTATTATAATGTACAGAGCGAAGAAGCGGAAGAAAGGAAAAAGAAACACTAGTACAACGGTGAGTAAATTGAAATATCTTGTTTCAGGTGGCCCGAATGGACTACTTTTTTAGTGGTAGAAGTTTTTTTTTTTGCACGCGGATAACCTAGACGAATATCACTGTCAATTTATATTATTAGTTTCCCTAAAGATATTTCAGCTATTGTTAAGTAAGAATAAAAAAACATGAAGTTTGCTCTAGTGTATCAATATAATATCCTTCATAAAGTTCGGTTTAATAATCTTCTTAGATGGCAATTGAACATTATTTATGAAATGCCACGCATGTCTTTTTCTTACTAAATAGCAAGTAAAATAATTTTCATTGTAGCAACCATAAAACTTAATAACTGGTGGACCAGAATAAATGGCTGCGTTTTGTATTTTATTTATTTTATAGATGCAATTTTAGTTTACAAAATAGACAAGATTCTACTTAACCGAATTTTGAATACTACAAAAAAGTTATTTAATTGGCGCATAACGAATTCCCTTTATTCAGTCGATTAAATGGTTTTTTTCACTCATTTTAATATTATTTGTTAGAGGACCCTACGAACTTCATAATGAAAAATTACATCTGTATATGTTAGTTAATAAAAATAAATGAAATCTAAAGCTCTATGAAAATTGGTTCGAATTGCTAAACAAGTAAGAAACGTGGTCAATGGAATAAAATCAAAAAATTATGATCATTTAATTGATGAAATAAGAAAAACAATTCGTCAGGTTCAAAACAAAAAGATTTTATTCGCGGAGTTGAACGTTATTCACAAAGAATTTTCACCATTTTGAAAACAAAAGGTGCATGTACATTAGGCGATGAAACAATAAAATACAAAGCGCCGCCATTGATTTTGGTCCACTCTTCGTTATATTACATTAATTAGTAGCAAGATTTCTCATTCAATTATCTTATGAAATTGATTATGACTTATTCATATAGGTGTGCCATATAGAACTAAGTTTTTTGTATGTAGTTAATTCAATTAAGTATTTTAGTTCAGAGAATGCAACTTTTTCAAAGTTCTGAATTTTTGTCAATTACGGATCGAAAGTTTTGAACATTTAACATCAGAAATCTTTTTTTTTCATTCGTGACAACAATGGTAGCTACCATGAAACATATAATAATTCAATCAGTACCCATTGATATTGTTAATATTCTTTCAAGTCTAATGTTATCAAAATGTATTAATTCGTGTGGAGTTTTTCACCACAGTTCTCCAAAACAATGAACAACATCTTTTCAAGTTTTCTCCTCTATTAAGATAAAAAACTTTATACTACACGATATATTACTTTAGCTTTATTTTACTCATAGTTTTCAACAATATTCTTTAGTACACCAAACTGGTAAATCAATTAAAATGCCTTAATTGAAGCTATAAGAACAAGAACATTAAAATTAACACAATTATTAGTTCACATCATATTTTCTAAAGATACAGTCAAATACTGAATAATTAAAATTTACTTCTTAACTAGTACTATTCGTGTCAAACCAAAGAGTCATGTAAACAATCAGCGGTAATCATGATAACTGTTACTGAGATCGTTATAATACCTGCACATATATTTTCGATCTTTGATATGTTCATCAAGTTTTCTAATATGTTTTCTCAAATTATAACACATTTGAAATAGTCAATGATGTCCTTGTTAATGACCTGATAGATAAATAAAGCATATTATTTTCGAATTGAACCAATTATTCATCTCCAACATAATAACAGACTGAAGCAGTTACTGAGTAGTTTTTTTTACTACTCAATCAAATTGACTTAAAATATTTTTCAAAATCATAAAGTCTCTCATGATTGTACATCAACCCGTACGAAGCCAGACACATTAATTTTTTGCAAAATCTAAACTAATACGAATTTTACTTCTACATTAAATATGCGTAGAATAATTCAAAGCATTAGCAGAAGAGAAACGAAGGCAATAAAATGTATGATTGACAATTTCACTCATAAGTCACAAACAAATTGTCGAGCAAGAAAATAAATTTCAGTGCTCAATATTACAGAGAATGAGATATGCAATTCAACTTTGTTTCGAAGTCTTCTAAAAGATAATAAAGTACACTATGGCTTTAAGAATTTTGTTTTTTATTTAGTCAGCATCTATGATGTTTCTCTTTATGCTTCAAATGAAAAACGAATATCGTCTTTACTTATGTTTAATGTTTTCTAATTTGAATATTTAAAAAGCAAAACTTTTAATCGCCAATACAGTAACTGTTAAAATATTTTTTGGCGTCAATGATAAGCATCAACACCGAGTTGATTTGAAAGAATCCTTACAAAAAGCTCATTGTGTGTTTTTGTTTGATGTCTTCAATTAAAGAACCAAGTATAAAACACTTTCCATAAAAGTACTTTTATTTTTCGTAAAGTTAAACTAATCGTTCTATCATCGCTTAATGATGGTTCACCAATTTCATATTATTTTCATGTTTGTACTTATTCCACTTGTTGAAACATCTCATTTCCGTGGTGGTACTATCACTTGGTCAGTTTCAATGATTTATCTTTTGTAATTCTATGATGAATGCATATTATTTAGGCGCCTACTTAATACTACACCTTCGGGAAGTTCGGTTGATATTCAAATTCGTCAACGATACTCATGGAATCGGGCTTCTGTTTTTTGTGATGATACATACATTGCTTCACTCACTCAAATCGGTGATAATACTTCTATCAGCTGCGTCTCTGGAACTTGTTCTACTTGGAACTCAAATTTGATCTATACAAAAACCTATTGCACTGATTATAGTGTTGGTGGTAGTGTTAGTTCGGGTGAAATATATTATACACGTACAGTACCATTGAATATTTCATTCAGCATCGGTTTCATCTCAGGTAATTGGTTCGCAAATCTTGTTGTTGGTGCTAAGGGTCTTTGGAGTGTTATCGATCGAATCAATACTATTGTTCGTCCAGATGGTTATTTAAATAATAGTCCAGTCGCGACTACGCTTCCTGTAATTTATAAGGCTATCAATACCCAACGTGTGCATGTTGTTCAAATGTCTGATCTAGATTCAACTGACACATTGAGATGTCGTTGGTCCGATAACTCAGCCAGCAACTTTAATTCATACGATAAATGTGCAGATGTATGTAACGGTGTACCTGGCGCTGTATTATATAATGATAACTGTACACTTGTATTCACACTCACTCTAGCGAATATGTATGTTGCAGTAGCCTTACAAATTGAAGATTATTACACATCAATATCATCATTTCTAATGAGCTCTGTACCTCTTCAATTTCTTTTCTATGGTTATGATACGCCTTCTGGTTGTAGTACACCACCAGCTATTATTGGTAATCGACCCAATCGAGGTAACAAAAAGTTTAAAAAAAGAAATTCTTCTTGATATAAGAAAAATCATTATTAATCTGATGAAATCTGTCATATGAAAACAACTGATAATATCTAATTTCAGCTTGTATTGGAACACCGATTGGTTCAAATGTCACTGAATATGTGATAGCACAAGTTTATTGTCCTGGAAAAACTATTACTGATTTCGTTACAAGTTCTCCTGTTGGATGAAGAAAAAGTACTATTCAGAATCCTAGATCAGGTATGTCGTTTTCAGTGTCTCAGTTTTATATTATTTCAGTTTTGTAATTTAAGGTATCTACCAAATCATTCTTAGCTGGATTCCCACAGCTACTCAATTTGGTCCACAAGGTTTTTGTGCTGGTGCTATAGATAATACAGATGTTCAATCAAATCAATGGTGTATTACATTCTTAGTTGGTTATGATTCTCCTAATTTGATTCAAGCTTCTTCTGTTCAAGGAACAGTTTCACCAA